GCTATTTATTTCTTTTTATCCAAATTCATCCTTTGTGTTAATGAAGTCAACATCTTTCATACCAATTGTTTGTTTTGATGCCTTTATAGTAAGCTAATGATGTAATACAGAAGGGTCATGAGACTCAATAAAGCCTCCGTGTAAAATGCAAGATCCTTAAAGGATTATGTAACTAAACCTCCATTACTTTTTGCCTAGGTGAGGTGTTTTTAAATAAAACTATTACAATCTGTGAGATTTAAAATCATTCTTTAGTGAATAAGCGAGTGCGCTGAGTTGTGTGTTTATCACATTTGTGCAGCTATAGCATACTTTTAAACAATCCATGCGCATTCAAGATTTGATTCTTGTGTTACTGTTAAAATACATTAATATAGTGTTCTTTTTATTCATATTTTTTTTCTAGGCAAAGAAAATAATTTTGTAAGTTACACTGATTCAGTGTCTGACTCTCTAAATGCCCCGTATGATTATACATCTCTAATGCACTACCGCAAGACAGATTTCCAGAAAGGTAGCAATCCAACAATTATAACAAAGAATCCTCAATTCAGTAATATAATTGGGGGACAGATGGATTTAAGTGAAATTGATGTCCTAAAATTAAATCGACTGTACAATTGCAGTAAGTATCTAACACTGAATATGTATTAAACCTGTGCCTTACTTTTAAATTATTTTAAATTATTTGTACGTTTACAAAGTCTTTATTTTTAGTTAACATCATGAACCAACAATCTCACACTTTCTGTATCTAAGGCCAGAACTTGTGTACAATAACTGTAAACATGGATGCTTTAAGTCTGTGCCCACTGCAGAAAAATCTATCTTAGGGAAATAAAGTATAAGCAATCAAGTCCAGTAGCTGTCATGAAATTACATAAAGTTTTTTTTTTCAGAACACATATTTAGACATTTTGATATATATTATATATAATTTCTTTATTGCATATTTTTTATTTTCTTATATATATTACATATTGTATATTACATTTCAGTTCATTTCTAGACTTGGAGATTAATTTCAGGCCAAATTGCTATTTGTTTGAATTTGGGCAATCAGGTGATTGGACGAACTGACAAGCTCTGAGCCGCAATGTACCCAAATCATGAACCAAACAAAACGGGCAGTGGCGAGCATGTTTGTTTCGGGTCATGAATCAGAATTCTGCCAATGGCACCAAGAAAAGAGATGACTGATGATTGAACAAAAAGAAGTGAGCAATAGAAGGATCAGTACAAATATATATTCATATATTATTTAATAAGTATGTAATATATAAATATACATATATTTTACTTCTCTGCCTTTTTTTCCCCTCTATTGGTTAATTTTTCTTATTCTCACTTGATTTTTCAACTAAATGGCAGTAAAATGCTTCTATCAGTGTACTGCAAAATATATACATAATATTATATTACGTATATATTTTGCATTACACAGACTTTCCCATTTTTGCGCTCTTTTGTTTTGTTTGTTTGGTTTCTGAGTCAGGTTTTTAATACTGAAATTCTGCTGAACTGAACAGACATCTAGCCCAAACATTTTTTTTCGGGAAAAAATGGTTCAATCGAGGTGAATACTCAATGGGCACAAGTCTAGTAATTTCTGTACTATTTCCACACTATAAACAATAAATAAATCCAAAAATTAAAAACATACAATATAGTATTTTTAATGAATTCACAAAAAGGACAAGTAAAAAAGCATATTGCCAACTCATCTCAGAATTCATTTTATGTAATACATCAGTTCATATGATATTTAGATGACTATATTTAGTTACTATGTAATTCAAGTTATATACAATTTAAAAAACATGTTTAATTTTGCACATTTACTAATAAATAGAAAAAAAAATAAACATATTAAAAACTCCTTTAAGAAACTCATTAAAAAGTCAGATTTTCAGAATGAGAAGAACATTGTATCAAAATCACACTTACAAGGGTTACAATCAGGGTTACAATTAAAAGAACACCTTAGGGTTAGAAATGGTCAGGTGTCCCTAGGATGTAATGGGTGCTCTGCGCAATTTCTGCCTCTTGAGTATTACTTCACTGAGCTAAACAACCAACCTGGAAGTTACAGATCTGGTTGTTTAATTGAAAGCTAGGGGGACGTAACAAAGTTAATTTATAAAAGTGGCAATTCCAATTGAAATCTGCACTTTTTCTTAAACTGAAAAAAGAAGACACACATAAATCAGTTAAGCAAGTTATAGTGTTTTACGGATCTGTAGTGTCCCTTTAAGTGTAACCTTTAATTTGTGATAGTGTTATTAATATGTATATATGTGCATATGTCTGTTTTCTATGGTGCTCTCTTAAAAAAATCTAAAGGTAAAAAGGATTTAAAAAAAAATAAAAAAATTCCAATATGCACTAATTGTAAAAATAAACAAAATAAGTAATAATATAAAGATACTCCAAAAATGTTTGGCAAATTTTAAAAAAATATTTATTTACAATTCATATTAATATTAATATTTTTATTTTATTATAGTTCTTACACATAATGATATAGTAACTATATAAGTCTCCATATCATAAAAATTTAAGTATATTATGTATGATTTTAACACACTAAAATATTAATTAACTCTCATGCTATATGACGGATTCATTCTTATGATTTCTAATAGTGATATACATATGTAGAGTTGACTTTTGGTATTTAATTTAATGTATCGTCATTTGTATATTTATTTGTACTCTATTTCTGGTTTTGGTTCAGCTTAATTTGCATTTTATTATTTAATTCAGAACATAAAGTGCTTAATTAGACTTAACTCTGATTCTTTAAAGAAAATACATGTGGAATGTACTGTGAAGTTCGAGTATAAGAATGTTTGAATTACAATGAACATATGTGAGGTAACTGTTGTGGCAGAATTATTTAAATAATTTTAAAAAAAGCACTTATGTACTCAAGCATAAAGCAAAAGGACATATGTATTGGGCACTGCCATGATGCAAAAATGGGAAATTAGGGTATTTAATCGCCAGCAGCATATTTTGCCATTATCCTTTATTGATCCTTGAGGAAGTGAGTGCAGATGGGTGAGTGCAGATGGCTGAAACACGTTGGAGTTGGGTTTTTTTTACATTTATTTTTTGTTATTTTTTTTACTTTTATTGTAAGTATTTTTTTGTTTTAATTAATAATTTAATTGCATAAATACATTTGATATGTTTTTTCAAATGGTATCACACCATATATTTTTTAATTGGTCAATTTTATATGTGTTGGAAGTTAATGGAAAATAAAAAAAAAACTAAGAACCTCAGGAGATTTGGTCATATGCTTTTTTTTATTTTGTGAATACTGTCAGTGATTATCTCCATTTACAGACAATTTCTCACTGTGCACAAGTCTATGAATTTCCACATTATTCCAGCTGTATGTTCACGAAATGTATTCTAATGTAATTATGGACATAAAATATTTATATTATAATTACATGGAGTAATTGAATTACAGTCTTCAATTCACAGCAACACCATTAACCTTCATGGATTCATGCACCTTTGATTTTGATGATATATGTGGAGCTCTTCAAAGTTCTGATAATGGCAGCAGTTGGCAACGACTTACCTCTGTTCTAGATGGGCCTACATCTGATCATACATACTTAAATGATGTAAAAGGTAAAACACAATAGGTATTAAATTTACACTTATATAAATAAATGTTTTCTATTTTTTGTTGGACTGATTTATCTAACCATTATATACTTAGGACTCTTAAAATCTGGTTTAATTAAAGTGTTTTAAACTAACAATGTTGTCTTGGTAATTCAGTTTATACTTTAAATCTATATTCATTTTATATACAGCATTTAATACCATTTGATCTTTTACAATTTAATATTATAGAATTCATTTGTACAAGAAAGTAATCAATATATTTAGTATAAATTTTAGTGAGCAAAGCAAATCATTTCCTTACAGCCACAATCTTTACAAAATTCTCAAAATGGCTAATATTTCACAAATATTCAAGACCAGTCAAAAGGTATCATAAGACAAAGTATGGATTACTTTGTTTTATGTATTTTCCATACATTTGACAAAGTGGTGGAGTTTTTCAGTTCTTTACAATTCACAGTCTGGTGAATAAATCTGAAATATTTACATTTCTCTTTTCTGACCTACTGCAGGCTACTTCATGCATTTTAGCACCAGCACTGGAAATCCTGGAGATAGAGCCATGCTGAAAAGCAGACTTTTTTACCCGAAGAGAGGATTTCAGTGTTTGGAGTTCTTTTACTATAACAGTGGCAATGAAAGTGACCACCTGGAAATATGGATTGAAGAGTACACCTCCTCCTCGAACAGTAAACTGAGGTTTATCAGCAGTATAACAGGTAAGTGAATGAAACCATATATTGTGGGTGATGCGTTATTTGAAAGTAATAGAGTAATGTTACTCATTTTAACATACAACCAAGACAGTAATAATACATAAAAATCAAATTAAAAGGTTAAATCAACCAAAATAGCAACATAACCCACCTAATAAAAATACAAAAGGAATAGAGAAAAATCTGCAAGCCCACACTGGACCGAGTTCTTCCTTGAGCCCAATAATTTTCCTCCGATCTTCCTCCTATCCGCAGGGGTAGGAGCATCAGGGAGCACATGCTGAGGGGAGGACTTGGGCAGCACAGAAGGGGGGCATGTAACCATTGATATGCTATGCATGCTGACAACAGTCACAGAATTGACCTGCCCACTAATGACACTCCTCCGACAGCTTTTACTCTGTATGTGCTGTGTTTCTCAGTGAACTGCTGGGCACACAAACTCCAAGCACCACAATCTCTTCAAAACACTGAAGTGGTCATTGCACTTAGAGTAACCTTTCAATAACCCTGAGATTATTTTTGTTTTGTTTACTGTTTTAATATATTACAAACCAGATATTTTTATATTTTGATATAAGTTCTCCCTTTCTCAACAAATCACACTTAATATCATAGAGAGCAAAAAACAGGGCGCAAGAGAATACTGAGAACAGGCAGCAGCTAAGGGCAGGCTATTTCAGCTGCTGCCCATTCTCAGTATACTCTTGCGACCCATTTTTTTGCTCTCCACAAGTTTTAAGGGTAATCCAGACATGGAGCCCTTGCTCATGGTGCCTAGGGAGATATCAGCTATGTCTCACTGATGATGCCTAACAAGGCTGAAACGATCATCTGGGGTTGCTATGTCTCTCGTGCAGAGGGAACTTGCTGGCATTTTGGATCTGCACACAAGTTTTGAAGGGTAATCCAGACATGGACCCCTTGCTCACGGTACCTTGGGAGATATCAGCTATGCCTCACTGATGATGCCTAACAAGGCTGAAACGATTGTCTGGGGTTGCTATGTCTCTCGTGCAGTGGGAACTTGCTGGCATTTTGGATCTGGACTGCCCGTATGGGTGGGACCAGTCTGATATGTTTCAGAGATGTTCTCTCTGTAATGGCGGAAGATGAGCAAAAACCAGCTTGAGATCTGAGCGGGGACCCACCGAAGGCCAGGCTATTTCAGCTGCTGCCCGTTCTCAGTATATTCTTGCAACCCATTTTTTTGCTCTCCACAAGTTTAAAGGGTAATCCAGACGTAGACCCCTTGCTCACGGTGCCTAGGGAGGTATCAGCTATGCCTCAATGAAGATGCCTAATAAGGCTGAAAAGATCGTCTGGGCTTGCTATGTCTCTCATGCAGAGGGAACTTGCTGGCATTTCAGATCTGGACTGCCTGTATGGGTAGGCTATTTCAGCTGCTACCCGTTCTCAGTATACTCTTGCGACACATTTTCTTGCTCTCCACTTAAAATCATGTTTCAGTTAAAAAAATAAAAATAAAAAAATTGATACCTACACACCTAAATACTTAACTATATTATTAAATAACAACTTAACTTAATCATTAATAAATGAAAAAAATGAAAAGTTATACTTCGCAAACTATTTTTTAAAATAGTCCGAGCCTGCTTATCACCCTAATCTTTATGCTTCACTGATCCCTGAGAAAGTATGTACAGTTGATTGAAACTTGGAGTAGTTTTTTTTATTTTTACGTATTTTACATTTTTTGTTACTATTTCAAATATTTGTGTTAGTTTTAATTTTGTAGTTATTTTTTAGTTTTTTTGGCCCAATGAAACCTACATGGGCCTGAGCTATCAGGAATGCCTGCCTATGCTATTCCTATTGGTGACATAATCCATGGAAGCTCTTTTTCAATGTGTGTTTAAACCATTTGTTGCTTGTGAGTGCAAAATGTAAAGAAGAATTTGAGAATATTTTAAATGGAATAATACTATATATTTTTTATTTGGTAAATGTTTGGCCAATATATACAATGAGGGGGAAAAAAGTATTTGATCCCCTGCTGATTTTTTTAAATTAAATATTTTCTTTTTATTTCCATTAAATTTGTGAGAAGGAAACAAGTAATTAGATACAATTCGCATGAGTACAAAAGATTATTACATTAATAAAACATATTTACGTGACAAAGTTCAAGATAGAAGTTTCTTTCCCTCTTGTGTGTTTTTAAGGATCAATTCGTTATTTCTACATATTTCAGTAAATATTCATACAAATGGTTAAGTAAATTTTAGTAAATATACAAACACATGGTTAAGTAAATTAAAAAGACAAAACAATAAACCTTCATTCATTCGTCATTCATTCAAGGAATCTGGAGGGAAGAGGGAAGTCGGGATACATTCCCAGTTAAAATAAACCGTTATTATTCTCTCTAAAATGTTTCCATGGGGATCAAAGCTACAAATATTTGACATATTAAGAATGGTCTTAATAAAAGGCTGCCTCCATTCTATATTGCTAATCTATTTGTTGCAATATCCTTGTCCATATTAGACCACCTTTGGATTTCCATTCACGTGCAATACATATTTTAACTGCTAACATTATGTGCACAATTAGACAATTCTGAGAGTAATTTCACGGAAGCTGAATATTGAAAATAAACTTCTGAGGAGAAAAGTCAAATTAAATTCCTAATAAGGCTGCCAAATTTTTTTACAGGGACTTAATGGTGTTTTTTAAATCTGGGAATCCCCATCTAATATGTAAGAAAGAACTATAATTAACTTTGCATCTCCAACACATTTGTGATATGTTAGAATAAATTTTGTGTAGTCTGACCAGAATTAAATACCAACGCAACATTATTTTATACTGAATTTCTATTAAATTCATACCGTGGATGTTCTCCCTTACTATTATTAAACCCTTTAACCATTCTTTGTAGTCCAATTTAATATTTATCTCCTTTTCCCATTTAATCCGTGGTGAAATTTTCTTCTTGCAATTGCAGTTGAATACGAAAGTTAAAAACTTTAGAGGTGATCTTATGATTTTAATGTTTATTTAAAAAATCAAAGGATTGTCCATTACAATTGTTTTCTTTATGGTAAAGTTTTTCAAGCTAAGATAGCTGAAAACGTCACTAGGCAAAAGATCAAATTTAGACTGAAGCAAGTGGAATGACAACAGTGTTCCATCAGGTGCTAAATCGTGTAAACATTTAATGCTCCTTTCCCTCCAGCTTAACAAACTAATATCACCTATATCCAAGTCTAAAGCTTCTAGTGGCATATTTGACAAAAGAGAGTTTCGTGATCCCAAAATTGTAATCTTTAGATTACATCTAATTATCTAACTACCGATATATGATAATATCTAATTATCGGGGTTTGAGTAAAAATATTTATTTTCCCCTTAGGATCTTTATTTGACTAGAGTAATAAAAAAGTTCTAGTTTTCCTATATCTTGTTTTTCAATCTCCAGCCATATCGGTCTGGAGGTTGAGAAATTATCCCAAGCAATAGCATGTGCTATCATGTTATTATTGAATAAAGAAAATCTATTAGGAAAAGATAACCCTCCCTTTTTGAAATCTCTATATAAAATATCTGAGGTTATGCTGGGTTTCTTGTCCTGACAAATACATTTGTTAATTGTTAGTTGAATTAAGATATTATTAATTCTAAGTGGTATGTTTTTAAACAAATAAGTAACCTTTGGTAGAAAGTAAGATCTTACTACTTCAGCCCGACCCATCCAAGATAATTCCATCCATTTCCAGTTTAATAAAGTGTTTCTTAGTTCACCTAGTTTGAAATGATAATTTTATTTTATGATTTTGTCTAGATCCATATATAATTTAATCCCTAGATAGTCTACATATTTATAGAACCAATCAAATCGAAATCTTGATTTAATATGCTCAGAGTCATCCGTAGATACTCTGTTCATTAATATCTGGGTTTTGTTGAAATTTAATTTAAAATTTGAAAAACAACCATATTCCTCGATCAGTTGAATTACCGTATATACCAGAAAATAGGCCAAAGTATCTCATTTTACCACAAAAAAATGGGAAAACTTATTGACTTGAGTATAAGCCTAGGGTGGGAAATGCATTAGCTATTGGTAAATTTAAAAATAAAAATAGATCCCAATAAAATTACATTAATTGAGGCATCAGTAGGTTAAATGTTTTTGAATATTTATTTACAGTATGTGTATATAATGAATGCAGTGTGTGTGTGTTTGTGTAGTGTGTGTGTGTATATAATGAATGCAGAGTGTGTGTGTTTGTGTAGTGTGTGTATATAATGAATGCAGAGTGTGTGTGTGTGTGTGTGTGTGTGTATAATGGATGCAGTGTTTGTGTAGTGTGTGTATATAATGAATGCAGTGTGTGTTTGTGTGAATATGGTGTGTGTGTGTCAATGAATGCAGAGTGTTTGTATATAATGCAGTGTGTGCGTATATAATGCAGAGTGTGTGTTTGTGTGAATGCAGTGTGTGTTTGAGTGAATGCAGTGTGTGTTTGAGTGAATGCAGTGTGTGTTTGTGTGAATGCAGTGTGTGTGTATATGATGCAGAGTGTGTGAGTTTGTGTAGTGTGTGTAAACTGGGTGGGGGGAGGGCATTTTTAATATTTTAATATTATTATTGTAATATTACATTTTTTTACTTTTTTTTTTGTCCCCCCTCCCTGCTTGTTACCTGGCCAGGGAGGGGGGCCATGGCATTCCCTGGTGGCTCAGTAGTATGGGCTGAGCAGGGGGGGGGGCGGCAGCATGCTGTTACTTACCTTTCCAGCTGCTCCTCCAGCTCCCCAGTGTAAATCTCGCAGTCTGCGTGCTGCACGGAGCGTTTCCATGGTAACCCGTGGCAATGTTCTGAAGGCCGCGGGACTCGCAAGATTTACACTGGGGAGCTGGAGGCGCTGCTGGAAAGCTGCTGGACCGGCAGTCCTGGTCTGTATTATGGCAATGTAAGTTGCCATAATACAGATCCTGGCTCAAGTATAAGCCGAGGGGGGCTTTTTCAGCACAAAAAAAGTGCTGAAAAACTCGGCTTATACTCGAGTATATACGGTACTTTAGGAAAAGAAATTTTCGGATTAGCTAAAGTTGAAAAGGACATCATCAGCATATAAGGTAACTTTGCATTCCAATGTTCAAATTGTTATACCCTTAATTTCTTTATCTTGTTTAATCGAGTTAGATAAAGGTTTCATAGTCATGATGTATAACAATGGGGCAAGGGGACAGCTCTGCCTCATGCCATTTCTAATTTTAAACCAATCTGATGAAAGCATATTTCCCACAACTAACTGTAGGATTAGTATACAATAGCATAATGTTCTTCCTAAACGTACCCTCGATGCCGAAGGCACCCAATACCACGTCTAAGAAACGCCAATTCACCCGGTCGGTAGCCTTTTCGGCATCAAGGGCCATCATAATCGAACTTTCTTCTTGTTGAAAAATTATATATATCACTTTTCTGGTGTAATCATTAGTACTCCTAACCTTAACGAACTCACATTGGTCTAAATAAATTAAATCTGGGAGAACATCCTTCAACCTCTTGGCTAAAATTTTAGAATACATTTTTATATCCAAGTTAATGAGGGATATTGGCCGGTAATTTGTAAAATAGGTAGGATCTTTATTAAGCTTTGGTTGCTTGTAACATTTCAGATGGAATAGTGTTACTAGAATTAAATTGGTGATATGTTCTTAATAATAAAGGTGAAA